CTCACCTCAGCCTCCCAAAGGTGCGGGATTACAGGCTGAGCCACCGAGCCCGGCAAGGGGAAAAGTTTTGAAATAAAAATGCAAAATGAGAATATTGAGCCCTACTGAAAATTACATTGAATTCTCCCTAAATTATCTGCTACCATCTCTTTTTAAAGACTAACATTATATGATAAAATATAATTTGTGTTGAATAAATGAAGTTGGAATCATCTTGCCTTCAGTACAAAACTGTCTCATATTTGAGAAGTTTTTAAAAATATTTCAGATCTTTGTGCCAAAGTGAACATTTGGGAAATATTTTAAAATATACCTGACTAGACCTGAATAATACCATGTGTGCACGCACACATGGAAAGAGAGAGAGCAAGCAAGAGTGAGAGACAGAGAGAGACAGAGAGAAAGGAAGAAAACTGAGAAAGATGTCTCTTCTCTTGAAATTGTCTTGATATATGAACTTAGACTCAGGTATTAAGACCTAGAAAAAGCCCATCTTCAGAATTAACACTTTTAACTTCTGAGAGTAATTACTAATAATACTCTATTATGTTTTCAAATAAGCCTGTCATAAAAAAATATATCCTGGATAACAGCCTAAATCTGGGTTTCGGGAAGAAGAAAGGTTAGCATTCCTTGAGCCAGTGTTACTTATTCTACAAAATTCTCTGGACCTGTGTGAAGTTAATATTTATTTGTTTCCATAGTCATTCAACTAGTTCACTCAAAAGAGATGTATTGAACACCTACTATGTGTCTGCTCACTGCTGGGCATATACTAGTGAAAACACTGACATGATTTCTGCCTTCATTACCAAATACATAAGATGGACTCAAGTTCCCAACACATAGTTGTAAGCGATGAAAGAAAAGCTAGAAAGTATTTGGAGAAGAAGAGGGTATAAAGCTGTTCCTGAGGAAATGGGACTTGGAGAAGGAGGAGTAGTATGTCATATAAAGAATGAGAAGGGGTGCTGCTATGTCAGTCGGGGAAGACATGCACGGACTAAAGACCCGATAAAGGACTTGGAAAATTCAGGATTTCTTCTCCCCCCTCCCCCCGACAATAAATCCCCACTAGCCATAATGCTGGATCACATTACATTGTGTAATGGGTCCTACAGAATGATTTCAGCCTTTTGACTTTTGTCCTAAGACACAGTCTACAAATAGGCAGTCTCCTGGCTATGAGACTGACACGTTTCGGCTTGTGCATTTTGTTCAGCACGTGTGGCTTGTTTTTAATCCGAACGCATTCAGGCAGGACACACACTTTCCGATTTGCCACAGGCTACCTCTCTCTCTGGGCGTCACATCCGTGTGCCACCTCTCTGACTCCCGGGGCAGTGGAGTTTGCAATCTTTTCTCGGGGACTGTTACTGTACTCAAAACAGCTCCCCAAAGGAGAAGCAGCACTGCAGCCGAACAAGGAGGAACAGACAGCCCGGCCCGGACTGCGCAGGCGCCCTGGGCGTTTGGGCGCGCAGAGGAAGAAGAGCGGCGGCGCACCGCGGCCACTCACTGCGCATGACCGGCCGCGTTGCCAAGGCAGCGGGGAAGGCGTCTCCCGGAAGAGGAGCTTTGCTGAGCGGTGGGCACCGAGAGCCCCACCCGGCTCTGCCCTCGCGAGTTTCTGAGCTACTGTTGACCAAGGTGAAGCAGGTGAGGCGCCGAGTCTGATGCATGGTGATGGCCCTCTGCTCAGAACCGGGGGGGGATTCAAAAGAAGAGCAAGGGGAATTGGCCTAAAAGGGCAGAAGTGCTATGGCAAGCTTTTCCGATGAGACAGAGAATTCCTTTGCTGAGGAGGTGCTGAGTTCCGGTTCCTTCAGCTCCTCTGGAGGACGGCAGACCAGGTCCCTGGCCTCTGGGAGCGAACCAGAGAGTGGAAAGCGGACTACAAACTTGGAACAAGGAGACATACAATCTGAATTTTCAGACTTCAAAAATAATGAAAAGTTGAGGAACTACCTCAAGGGCAAAGAAACGAATTCCAGACGGTTCCAATCAGACATGAAGCTTCCGACAGAAAACACTCAGGTGTCCGATGAAGAATTAAATGCTCTGCAGTCTTTTTGCACCATTAAGATAGACTTGATCCATCACAGATTGGTCTCTGAGAAGAAGAGCTGCAGGCACAAAAAACAGCTTAGAAAGGATGTAGAGGCCTCAGAGAAAGATGCCTTAAAGTGTATTGTCCCCGATGAACTTTTGAACAGAATCTATTTAAAAAACTTAAGGACAACACCAAAACAGGTGGGAGAAGCTAAGCCACACATTTCTTCTCAGTGTCCTGACTGTAACAGGAAAAGAGCAGAGTTGGCGCAATGTGCCTTCCTGAAACAAAAGAAGACTTTACTGGAGTCACGTCTGCTCCGAGAGAAAATAGATGAACATCTTCATACCAAAGACTTTCTCACCCGTGTTGGAGAGGCACATCAAGACTTTCCCAGGCTTTCAGATGACCCCAGATTAATCTGGAAAAGGCTGACTGAGAAAAGTCACATTGGATACTCTGGTTGAAAGTTCAAACAGAGCAGAAGATGTACCAAGATGGAAATAGCACTTGTCATTCACCATATTCTTTAGCTCTTCTCAACAAGCCACTTACTCTAATCACACAGGAGATGTTAATTATTAATGATAATGTGTAATGTGTATGGATGTTCTTGTTATGTATTTGTATAATTATCATAATTTCTACAGGCACTTGGGAGACTAATTTAAAACTACTATGCTTCCTTCACAGATTTGAGGACTAAGAACTTTGCATCCAGTACATTTTTTCCCATTGTAGAGGGCAGTGTTGCATTGGAATAGTTACAAAGCTTTTACGACAATCCAGGAGAGAGATATTGGTAGTTTGAACTACGGTCTTGATGATACAGAGAAAAAGAAGTACAGAGATGTAAGAGATACTTGGGAAGTAATTCACTCTTTTTGGTGATGAAGTGGCTATGAAGAATTAATAAACAGTAAATGTTGAAAATATTACTAAGTTGCTGACTTGTGAATCTGGATAAATGATAATTAATTTTATTAAGATAGGAACACCCGAAGAGGGCCGTATTTCATCGGAGTGATGAAGGGTATAATTATTTGGACATAGTTAGAGGTCCATTTGGGACAACTGTGTTGAGAGTTTGAGGAAACATTAGATTATTTGTGCTTGTACTTGAGAGGAAAGGTATGCCCTAGAGGTGTGATATGAAGGGAGAACTGGGGGAAAATCATTAGCATATAGCTGGAAATTGAAGCAATTGATGTGGTGAGCTCTTCTGGAAGAGATTAGAATGAGAAGAGAAGTAGGGCTAGTACCCACTTCTGAGAAATGTCAGTTAATGGCTGGACAGAGGAGAATAAGTCTGCAAAAAAAGACAGAAAATCTTATTAGAGGGATGAAAGAAACAGGCATGTATAGTGTCATAGAGGCCAAGGGATGAAAATACTTCAAGAAGGATGGTTGCCTAAGCATGTCAATGCAACAGAGAGCTCAACTGAAAATTATTTGGTCATGTGTTAGGTACTGTTAACTTTAGCAACTTCCACTTAGAGAAATTTGATAGGCAAAGTAAATTGAGAAATAAATGTAAGAAAATAAAGAATATGGATATAGAGTACTCCTTGAAAAGTTTAGCAGTTGGGGGGAAGAGGTGAAGCTAGAGGTATTTGTTTAGTTGAGAAAGACAACAAATTATCTGAAAAGATACTTTGGTCATGAAGATATGAAACTTCTGTTATCTTAATTTCCATTCTGAGGAAACAGTATCATTCCCTGAGGGTTACCATGGAATTTTGAAAACAAAGGAGGAATAATATTATGTGGCATTCAAGAAATAATTTATTATTTATTTTCTCGAGAAAAATGTGAAGTTGTGGTATTAGTGACATTACCTGGAGGTCATTTTTCTACATGTCTAGCACATGCACAATTTCAGTGAAAAAAGACATTTTAAAAAATCAGCACAATAATGTCTTTGTATTATATTCCAATATAACTCTGAATATATATATACATATATATTCTTTTTTCCTATAAAATTTAACATATTTCCTCTAAGTCATTCCTAAATGGAAAAGAATCATTATCATTTTCATAATAACTTTTTTATTTGAAATTCACATTATGTCATGCTTTATCTTTGACATCTCAATATATTCACAATTTATATAGTAAAAATTTTGAATAATTTTCCATTTAGAATTCCCCCCACTAAAAGTCATGTTCCACCCTTTAGTCAACCAAGCTAGAAATCTGAGTAATCTTTTGTTCCTCCTTTAAAAAAACAGAACAAAACAAAACTCAATCCTATGCTATTTTTCAGCAAGACATCTAGATCACTTCTCTTCTGTATCTTCTGATCATGGATTATGTTCATCTAATTACCACTCTCATAATCTCTGCCCTCGTACTCCTACTTTCTCTCCTCTTCAGCCCATTCTCCATACAGTTGTCAGAATTATTTTTCTAATATACAAGTTTGTTCAAGTCATTCATTTTTTAAAAAATAAAACAACTCTAAATGGTTCATCTCTGCTGTAGTTGAAACTAATTAATGCCACGTAGAGGTTCTTGAATATATAGCCCAAATGTACTTTCTATCCCTTAGGTATCTCCCCTCTATATATTCAAACCTCTCTACAGGACTTGAAAGTCCCTGAGCTCTTTTTTCTTTGTGCCACTATGGTTTGTTTACATGTGCACATTTGTTTGGCTCAAATTAATTATCTTAACTGCCTTTTTCAGCAGATGTACTCTTCTTTTAATTTTCATTTTCAAATTTTGTTACTATAAATAGATAATACGGCTTCATGATTCTAAAATCAAAATGACATTAAAAGGTTTAGTTTGCAAAGTCACTCCTCTGCTTTGTAAACTATACCTCATTCTACACTGACCTGCCAGATCTCTGTCCTGCCAGGGTTAACACTTTACTTGCTGGATCATAGGGCAGTCAGCTATCCTGGGCTAAGAGCAGAGGTGGAGGGAATTCAGGGAACTGGGAAGAGGACATTTACCCAATGGAATGGAAGTATTTCTATACTTTATGCAGTACAATGTTATTAGGGTACAGGTGCTGAATATCCATGTTAGCTATAAATAACCTTGCATTAGTTGTTTAAAAATGTCTTCTTTTAGTGCTTCCTTTTGCAAATACAAGCATCAAAGATAGTTTACTGTGTACTCTCTTCTGCAATTTGCTATTTTTTAGTTTGGTTTCTCCTGTAATAAGATATATATGCACATACACATACACATATATATAACACATAAATTTGCTATTTTAGCCATTGCAAATAGTACTGTTCAGAGGTATTATGTTCGCAGTGTTGTGCAACCATCACTACTATTTCCAAAAGTTTTAATCCTCTCAAACAAAACTCAGGACCCATTAAGCAATTAGTATCCATCCTACCT